GTAATAATACATTTTGCCACACTTGAGGGCACTGAGTACTAAGGCTGAGTGAGGCACATTCATACCATATATACAATACCATAAAAAAAAAATATAAAAATCTATAAAACAAAGGCAAAAACTATAATAAACCAAGGAAATGTAACTTAGAGTTAAAATTAAATGAAATACAGAAATTCTTAGCAAAATTAAATAAATTATAAGTAATAGAAATAAATAGAAAAACATTCATACTTAAATACAATATTTACAATTAGGCAAGAGATCTCCGAGTCCAGCCCTTTCCCCCACGTGTGAAGGACAAAGCGAGACTCTAAGAGATCCCAGCGCTTCTCTCTCAACCGCGTCGCTGGCATTACCAGTCCGGTGGAGACTGAGAGAGGGCACTAAAACCACAAACACTCATGACTTGAGTGGAAAAGCTGGCCATTGCCAGAACTCCAGTGACGTCTTTACAAGAGATCTCGAGGCCGCTGCCGTTTCAACCTTCGAGGAGGGTTGTAGGGATGACTTGAGCTAGATAAGGATTGTGCTAAAGGGTTAGGATGGTGGATTATGTTCATGTGAAAATTTGAGAATCGGGATGGAATAACGTCAAGGATATAAGGGATGTAAAGGTCTATTTCACATTAAGGTTTGTCCTTATACATGACACATTGACCTGCCAGAATATAGCCGCTGAAATACAAAATGGCGGCCTGGTGAATGTAGATAGATACCTCATATAGGTAGTAAACGTGTATATAGAGAGGGCTTATAGATAAAGAAAGCTACCAACCCTTTTAATTTATAGCATTCACAGTCTCAAGATACGAAATACTATTTAACCAGTTGCTCCATAATCGGAGATTTCAAGTCGTAAAATTGAATTGACTATTCAAAACTTATACTTTTTTTCGCTGATATAGAGTGAAACTATACGTTCTATCTATAATATTATTAATGTTAAATTGAAGCTGAAAAAATTTTCAATATAAAAGGTTATTTATGTTTTTCAACATACCTTATAGTTTCCGAGATATCCGTTCACATAATTCACTAACTTTGCCAAAAAAAAAAATGTTTTTTCATGGAATATTTATCATTATTTGACCCGCCAACTCCTAATCTTTTCATTTTACGAAAAAGGTTAAGGAAGAAAATTGTTTAATATTAAATTTTCTTCATATTCTATTCTACATTACTTTACTGTCTTCGTGTAGTATTTGTCTAATGTATTACGTAGATGGATATCACGAAAACTATAGAATATAGCGAAAAAAATTAATATAACAATTTCTATTGTAAATTGTATCAGCTTTAATTTCACATACAACATTGTTATATCTAGAACGCATAGTTTCACTGATATAACTGAAAAAGAGTAAAAATTTTCGACTTGAAATCAACGGGTATGGGGTAATTGCCTATTATTCCACATCTTAAGACTGTAAATACTATAAATTCAAAGGGTTTGTTGCGTAATATATCTATAACCCCTCTCTCTCTCTCTCTCTCTATATATATATATATATATATATATATATATATATATATATATATATATATATATATATATATACACGTTTACTACCTATATAGGGTATCTATTTATCTTAACCTGGCCGTCATTTTGTATTCCAGCGGCTATATGGTGTCAGACATGTATTTTTCTCATCAGGCTTGTGGATATAATGAATTTATAAGGGTATATATTAGTATGAAAAATGACACCAATTTTGCCTAGGACTATTTACCTATTGTGAGACGATTTTCTATAGAATAATAAAACAATATAGAAATTAGGGGTTTGTAGCCTCAAAGATACACGAGCTTTTCAGTTGCCAGAATGGCTAACTCCAATTTCAACATTTTTTAGTAAATGCATTTTAGTGCTATTGTTAGCTAACAAATCTATGTGCAGGCAGTGAACAAGGTAATTCTAGAGTAGTTGATTGCAGTGTAGAAATATAGAACTGTAAATAAATGAATTAATGTTTTCACTAGAATTATCACTACAATTAATATTAAAAAATGTTTAAATTGGAGTTAGTCATTCGGTCAACTGAAAGGCTTATTTAAGACACCAGAACTATAGTCGCTTATTTCCTAAGTGAACCATAATTTATTATTGTTTTTTAGAAATAAAAGTATCGATTCCAATATAAAAATACCGAATGAATTCGATGGTGTAATTGTTATTTGTTTAAAACGGTTTTGTTTTTTTCAGTAAATGCAATGGAATACAAATATTTCGTAAGTATTATTTAAATAATATGAGAAGGAGGTAGTCGAGGGTGCGGTCAAATAAATAAAAAAAAATTAAAATATCTAAATTATTTTAATTTTTGCCGACGTTTCGACCCACTTTGCAGGTCGTCTTCAGGGCTACAAAAGATACAAACATGTTGAAAAAATAAAAATAAAATAAAAAATAAACATAAGTATATATAAAATACGAAGAAGTTGTCTGATACAGAAATAAAATATTAAGAAAATAGATAAAAGAAAATAAATACATGAATGTTAACGAATAAATGAATGTTAACGAATAAATAGATTGAAAATTGAAAAAACATATAGTGCAACCTGTTTTTTGTTTCTTTATCATCATAACCTTGTTTTTAAATTTATTCTTACATTTTAAAGTATTCTTTTAAAATTATTGTTTTCTTATAGAGTTATTTATACTTAATAATCTATCCCAACAATATTACACTAATGTTACCCTATTAATCTTTCAATTTCTTCACTTCTTAACCTTTAGTCCCGTTATCTGTTTATTTACAATTAAAGGTAACCTCCACTTGCTTGTTATCCACTGATATCTTATTATTATGTTATCTTATCCATATTTTAACTTTACTGTAACAATAGTTATTCAATTTTCAATCTATTTATTCGTTAACATTCATTTATTCGTTAACATTCATGTATTTATTTTCTTTTATCTATTTTCTTATCATGTATTTATTTTCTTTATATTTTATTTCTGTATCAGACAACTTCTTCGTATTTTATATATACTTATGTTTATTTTTTATTTTATTTTTATTTTTTCAACATGTTTGTATCTTTTGTAGCCCTGAAGACGACCTGCAAAGTGGGTCGAAACGTCGGCAAAAATTAAAATAATTTATATATTTTAATTTTTTTTATTTATTTGACCGCACCCTCGACTACCTCCTTCTCATATCATATTAACGGTCAACCATCTCTACATCATTATTTAAATAATAATTGATCAAAACTTTTTTAACCGTTTTATTCAAATGAAAATAGAAAATTAGCATATTTTATCGTTTAGTAACGGTAAACACAAATTTAATTTGTTTTATTATTTTTATTTATTTATCAATTTGTTTAATAATGGTCCTTATTGAGGGTGATGGGAGGTCTATCGCCCCCCTCCCTAACCAAAATGAATACTCTGCGCTTATGTGCTCGAGTATGGATTAAGATCACTCGAGTATGGACTTTTAAGATCAGTAAATGCAGATAGATATATTATTACAATTACTACAAACACGATTTGGCTTGCCAGATACAGTGAACCATAATCTCTAAACAATTGCAATAAATAAATAGCGGAATGTATTCAGAACGTTTTCTAGAAATTATTTCGAACTGTCTTGTCACATTTAAGCCATCACCTCCTTTTTCTTTTTTTATTAATTTTCAATGCATCCATTCAATGCATTTTCATGCATTAATGCAATTCATAAAATTGCATTACATTTTTGATGAGGTTATACGAGGGATATCGATTCACTGCCGTGGTTCAGGGTCGTCATTTCGTCTTACCTGAATATCCCAATACATCTGAGAAGCATCGTGAATGATCTAGAACCTCGTTTTTCCTATGCATCATATTCCTTCCAATGCATATTTAATGTAGTTTCAATGGGATTACGTGCAAAAAGGAAATAAATTCTTTCATACCAGAAATATTTCGTAATCCGGCATTTCATATTCGTAAATATTTCAGAATGAATATGAAGCTTGTTTTAAAAAGATAAATATCAATAAACTTATTTCTTTTTTAATTTCATAACTTTAAGAACTGATAAAATATCATGATTTCTACTGTTTTTTACAAGTGCTAAAAATGGCCGCACATGGAGGACACAGCGAAACACTAGGATTTATTAGAAAAAAGAAGTTCGTAAAAGATTGTTAAATGAAAATACGAGTTTTTCGGACTATCCAAAGGAAGGGATTTAAAGGGGCCTGGTATTTACTTATTACTTGTAATTAAGTTGTCCCATCTAACTAATAATAATTATTATTATAATTTGTATCATATTTTGAATTAATTGATGGATCAAGTGGATAAAAGGAATTAGTAACATTTTTGAGTTATTAGAAAAATGAATTCAGATTAATTATACCTACTTTAAGGCCGATATTTATCATAAATGGGTTATTCCTTCAATTCGGCTATGAACCAAATACCTACCGAATAATAAGAAATAGTAAGATAGACCACCATGCAGAGAATGGAGACATTGGATATACAAGCAGCACTAAATTTAGCAATGGTAAAAGAATTTCTCGCAAAACGAAAAACATCATTTTTCGAAAAGTCTCAACAATCGGCAAACCCTCTTTTCAACAATTTATTACCATCCGAAATTCCAAAACGTTGGCAACAACCCACATAAGATAGGTGTTTTATTAATTTAGTTGTAAGCTCTAGAGGATAAGGTCAACTCAAGCCTGAGGTGAGCCCCATCACCGATTATATTACAGTTGTGGAAAAAAAATACTCAGAAACGACGAAATGAAAATACACCTTTCAATGCTTTTTAGAATTAAAAGGACTATTATGAAGACAATGAAAATCCAAGGATTCAAGATAAAAATGAATAAAAAAGGGGCTATGAAAAAAACAACAACAACACTTTATTTAAGCAATTTAGTATTTGTTACGTCCTTCCTATACTAAATAATCAAAACTCTGCGTCATACTACTTACTACATAATCTGAAATTTAAATATTTCATGCAACATCTTCCCACATGATCTTGTCATTCTGACTTCTAGTCTATTTCTTATCCATATAGAACTGCAGCGTTTGAGTAGTCCGTAACTCGAGCTGCCCCCCTCTGAAACTCTATTCCGTTCTCCATTCATCAGGCTTTAACGGTTTTCATCGTTCAAATCTCTTGTTTTCAACCAGATTTTCCTCGCCCATTTTAGTGAATATTATATATGTAATCACTTTCTTTTACATTTAAAATGTTTCCCAGATTATTTTCTTATGACATTTCCACGTGTTTATTATTAATATTGTTTAAGTTTAATTTTGTTGTTTTAATTACTGTTTATATTTGATTTTTCCTGTATGCTTTATTTTCACTTAATGTTTATTCATGTTGATAAATAGGCATCTAATTTTATAATAAACCATTACGGCAGTCCTGTTTCAGGTACTATGCAATGTACTAATTTTATTTTAAATTATTAAGTCCCTCAATAATAAATAAGTTTTTTTTATTTTATTTAATTTTAGCTACTTTTATGTTTTCTTATTTGTCTTCTTAGTTACCTATCTCCTTTATCCACTTGACACTTCATTTACTGTGGCATAGAGAATAATTAGTTGTGGATTTTTATTTTTTTTGTGATAAATAAGTAATATATTTTTTAATTATACTTAAAATTTATAATTAGAAATAAATTTCGAGGAAAAAGCTTAATTAAATCTTACCACTTTCCGGTATTTAACCAGGCATTACATAAACTCAGCAATAAATTTAATGAGGCCATTCTTCAACTCTCCGCGAAATCCTCACACAATTTTATTGATATTAAGGCAGTGGGAAACAATATTATTTATAATGTCCGCTATAGATAAGGCAATCTTACCATTTCGCTCACGGCGAAAAGTTTTAAAAATATATATATACATTTTTTTAAATATTTACATCCACTTTGTGATTTCTCAAGTAGGTGTTTGAAGTGGTTTATGAGTCTGTAAGGACAATCAATTATAAACTGCGGATAAACGTATCAGAAGGGGAAAATCGAAATTTAAAAAGGAGGGTTGTTTATATTAGGCCTGGCTTTGAATATTTGACTTATGGAGATGAAGGGAGATTATAAATGTAATTATCCTTCAATAACAAACTTCAGAAACATCCAAACCCTCTCGTTTCTAACCTTGCTTCCTCTTCGATCCCTGACAACCCTCCAAGGCGTCTGAAAAGAAGATGGCATCGAGATCTCCTTTTGTAAATACATTTTTAGAGTATTCAATCAACTTCTGTAGTCCTTTCAGCTCGCCCTTATCATCTCATATTCTCAGCTGTATACTGTCCTCCTGGTAATTCCCTCTCCTATAACCTCCTTGATTCCTTATTCAAATCCCTCGGATCGCGCTTCATTGCTGGAGGAGACTACAATGCTAAACACCAACGATGGGGTTGTCGAACATCCAACCCCCGCGGTAACATCCTATCACGTGTTTCATCTTCCAACAATTATTCAATCCTTTCGCCCATGAGTCCTACTTACTGGCCAACGTCCCGATATCCTAGATATATTTATAACTTCCCAGATCTCCTCCTCACAAACCATAATCAAATCCCTTGATGACCTTTCTTCAGACCATAGTCCAGTTCTACTTTCACTACATTTCAGCTATGCTCCTAAACCATCACCTCCTAAATTGATTACAGGACGAGTGAACTGGGACAAATTTCGTGATGATTTGCAAAACAAACTATACTTAAAAATTCCGCTAAAAACAAAAGAGGACATTAATGGTGCCATTGAAAAACTGACAGCATCAATAACAGACAGTATAAATAATAACACTTTTATCAATAAGTTTAACAATTCACAAAAGACTGACTTGCCACAGCTTATTCGTATCTTATTGAAAGAAAAACGCAGAGCAAGATCGAAGTGGCATAGAACCTGATTCAAAATTTACTAAATTTTACTGAAAAACTTACACCTACCGACAAATCACTATGGACGACCACTAAAAGCCTCCTGAAATTTAAAGACTGCAAGATATATATATATATATATATATATATATATATATATATATATATATATATATATATATATATATAATGAAAGGCTGTTCGCGTGATCGGCACCGAACTTTCGATTTCGTTAGGTCTTGCTATTTATTTATTTTTTCTTAACTTTAGGTTGTTTCTGATATTAAATACTCTTAATTTTTTTTAAATTGTTTTATCCACTATTTTTATTTTTCAAAGTCAGATTAACATGACGGATACGTTACGACATACGCGCAGTGACACTCGGTGATGACTAATAGCTAGAATTACAGGACTTGAAAGAACACTCAGACCAAATGGAAGAATGAGCGGGCTAAGGAAATGTGACAGAAGATACATCTAGGACAGGAAATTGGACAAGGTTGACCACCAGAATAAGGCTCTACTATGATGGATGTTCTATTAAAATGGATCTTAGCTCCTTCCAATAACCTAACTCTTCACTCTTCAAAACCTTATCCTATGTCTTCTTATTTTATATTTACTATAGTAAATTTATATATATATATATATATATATATATATATATATATATATATATATATATATATATATATATATATACAGTAAATTAACATATGTATTATAATAAGCCGGAAGTTCCAACCAAATAACAGGATCTGCCTAGAAGGAAAATGACCAACGGTTGGAAATATATCAGCGTATAACATGCCCAAACGGAGCTTTCTTCTGCTTTTTAAAGGTATTGGGATCATGAAAAATTTCAAGAAATCTCAAATTAAGGGTGTACAATTCCATGATAAAACTAATACATGGCTGTGAAACCTGGACACTAACCAGCTCACTAAATACTGATAGATTTGAGAGAAAATCCTCCGCACGATATCCGAAGCGATCTGGGGTCAGAGTATAAAATATGGAGACAAAAGACTGATAAAAAAATGCTTACAGATACTGGTCAATCAATATCTCATGATATGAAACGGAGATTATAATAGGCGGCACATGTATCTCGGAGCAATCCATCAATATGTCTTAACACAACAAATGGCAGAGTAGTAGGCAAGACACAAGGTGGGAGGCCGAAAACTAGATGGATAGATGGAATCAACAAAGATGCAATAGAGCTGCTTGCAGATAACTAAAAATAAATAGCCCAAGATAGGCAGGGATGGTATTCCATTGTTGAGGTGTCCAGGCTTGTTGAGGTGAAAAAAGACCTACAGGGCCTGTAATGCCAGCAGAAAAACAAATATATATATATATATATACAATTTATATTTTCTCAAAAGACCCTCCTAGAAAATTTTTCGATTTTATTTACTGTTTTCTCTGTATTGAACAATAGTTTGCTTATTGCATGTTTCGGATTGGTTTTGAATTGTCGACCGTATTTGATTGACAAATATAATCTCCTCAAATATGAGGTTCGCCATCTCTACGTATAGGCTGTCCATTCGAAGGGTTTTGAGTAGCCTAGTGAAAATTCTTAAAGCACAATTGTGTATAATATCTTAAGTAGCGCATGCACTTTAGATTACACTCACTTTCCTTTCCGATCCACAGGTCGTGTATGTAATGTCCAGCTATTTGTACTATGTAGCTGTATATTCAAGTATTTCAAGTACTGACAAATGCCTTCAGATGCATTTATATATTTCTTCAATGAATAGATTATAAAATAGTTATTTTTTATTTCCATTCATTGTTTTATAATTCCTTTTCAACTTCTTATGAATATCGTTTTCGAACATAAAACGCTATTATCTATACAAAGGTAATTAGTTTTGGTGATAGATTACTAAGCTTTTGTGATGGATGTTAGCAGGACAGAATTATTAAAGTAAGGTCTGGGGCAAAAATAAACTGCCACCACGAAAAACAGAAGCTACTATTTATGAGAAGAGACGAGATAGGCGGCAATAATAAAGTAGAAAAGTAAATCAAGTGGGCAATAAAGGAGAAGGATCTGGAACACGATACGTTAGCACTAATGTCCCATGGGACTTTATATTCACCTTGCGCGCTTCCCATTGTTAACCTCTATATTAGTAAGTTCCTCGTCTTTGGTCCCAAGCGGTTAACTAGGCAATACTCCGTCATGCATTTAAATATAAATAATTTTCGTTTGTTAGTGAACTTTACAGTGTTAGTGAACTTTGCAGTTTTAAAAATGCTTTTTCATTCCTTATAAATCTTCTTTTCATATTCCGCTATGTATATCTGAATACAGCGCCTCTGATCAGCCTCTAATGGTCCTTAATACCAGTAATGCGTCTGAGTGAGAGGCGATGGGATCTCCTAGAGTCATGCCTTTATTTCCACGAATAGGAGAAAGGCTTGGCTCAGAGCACTCTTCAGCGAATGAATTCTTTAAATATTGTGAAATGTTTGAGTTTAAGTTGTTATTTTGATTGGTTAAGTCAGTGATTAATGAAACTCGACCCTCCCACTCTGGAAAAGTAGAGTTACGTTTGGTTGCGCCTCTAGAACAACCCCTCCGTAATACGGAGGGTTATGCCGAAAATGGTGGGTTTGGGATTTCCCAATAAAAAACAAAATGATTAATTTACTTATTTTTGTTTATATACAAAAATAGTATTATTACTTTTATTATTATTATTTTATGTTTATTTAATTTTTATTTTTTGTAAATATAGAGTGAAGGTGCTCTCTAAATGTCCTTAATTGTGACTGATTGTAATATTTCTGAATAAATAAATTTGAAAAAAAAATATTCTTACCCTTTTTTATTCTTATTATATTTTTACCATCTGAGAAAGCAACATAATCGAATGAAAGTAGATTGGTCAGTTTCATAGTTTTCAAGGCTTAAATTAAATAGGCATAACATCGAAAAATATCACATTCTTAAACAGTTTACGAACAGTATCAAGACACGAAATTACAGATAAAGTACCTCGAAAAACTAATAAATCATTGATACATGAGTACCAAATGAACTGACTAAAATTTGACTTAAGTTATTTTTAATTACAGGAAAAACCATTTTCTTAAATTATAAAAATTAGCATAGGCTATTTTTTTCTTTAATAATAGCTGTTGTGTCGAGCACAATACACAATTGGAAGTGGGGTAGCTCAGTTATGCTCAAGGTCCTAGATTCAAGTCCAG